AATAACTATTTTGTGTTTTATTGACCAATTCCCGGTACTTTTTTGACAGAATATATATGTAATTTTATTTTACTTTAAATTATGTAAATCATTATTTTAAATCTACAACGTTACATTTACGTAACTTAAATTGTCATTTACTATGTAAGGAAATTCATACAAATATTTTTGTCTTAAAATTAAAATACGTATTCTATAATACATATATATTCTATTCGCTGTAATGAATATAGAGAGATATAGAATGTCATTAAATATTGAGATAGAATATTTAAACTTATATTCTTTAGTAATTATTACATAATCGAATGAAATGATACTTAAATTTACATAATAATAAATTTAAATAATAGTTAAACTTATCTTATTACGCGTTTTAGCTAAAAATATATATTTTTCCGAGTTTTTACTAACAGAGGATATATTTTTTCTTTTTAGGAAAATCCGTTTAGAGAACGGATCTCGGAAGTTTTTACGCAACGCCAGGATTCAGGACAATCTACATCCGAAGGAATCTGTTTCGAGGAATTTCTCGAGATGCTGTCCGTGTTCTCCGAACAAGCACCGCGGGATTTGAAAGTCTTTTACGCCTTCAAAATTTACGGTACGGACCACCAGGTGAACCAGACGAGCGGACAGACAGACGAACGGACGAACGGACGGGCGAACCGTGAGAGAGCCTGGAGGTCGACCTCGCTGTACCTATAGTTGTTCCATGGGATGAGGAGTACATACGGCGTTCAGACACGACATCCACGATGCACGAGAATATTTGCACGGAACAACCGATCGATTTTGCCGCGGTGCAGCGTTATAATTATATACCCTTGTCCGAGCAGGATGTTTTTCCTTTGCCATAGATTACGCGTTTTTATCTCGTTATCCATTGCTTTTAACTCTCATAAATATTTTACGATTAGGCTTAAGTGAAAAAGCATTATCGTTATACAAAGAAGAATCGCCGCTAGCTTTATCCATTTAGCTTTGCTTGGACAATGTCCTGATGATCGCATCTATCAATTTGTAATCTTCCGCGAACAGATTTCGACGAGGACGGGGTGTTGGGTCTGGGCGATTTGGAGCGCACCTGTCGGCAACTGACTCGAGGTGGGCTAAGTGCCGAAGAGGTGACTACCGTGTGTCGAAAAATTCTGGAGGAGAGCGACATAGACGGCGACGGGGCTCTGTCCTATCTAGAATTCGAGCACGTTGTAACCAGATCCTCCGATTTC